GATAATAATAATAATGTTGAGAAAGAAGTAAAAACTAATTTTAAGTTTTAATATTATGAAATAAACAATTACTCTTCCTTGCTTATAATTACATATAATCACGTCTTAGTTGTCTAATTTATGCATTAAGAAACCTGACATAGGCATGAAATGTACTCACTAGACAAAATAAAAGTAAAAACCAACTAACTATAACACTGTCTGATGCGGTAAATTAAACGTAGATGAATAGTTCAAAGAGAATTATTCTTAAGTGTAGCAATTATCAAACTGTTAAATGAATGAAACTCATTTGTTTTGGTTTTAGACAAGTAAATTATGCATAAGTAATTACATTCGGTCACATTTTCACCAAAATAATCAAAACAGTGAACTGGTAGACAGTAAAAGGTTTTGGGTTCAAGTCTTGTTATGGTTGCGTGTGTGTTTGTGTGTGTCAGTGGTTCAGTGAAAAAATACTCGCTAACTATGCCTCATATGTTCCGGAGTTCGAGTCCCAAGCAGACTATGTACTCCTAAATGTTGGCTAACCTGTGAGAAGTGGGGTTAGCAATCGCAGCCAATGAAAAGAACAACACCGCAGCGGCTGAAACTTCATAGATGAAGCCTGAAGTCGCAAGTTCCACTTGGAAGGCGAAGAACTGTAAATAAGAGTCAATTATAGATGAATTTTTACATTAAGGCATATTTTCGATATTAAAAAGACGAATACAAAGACCAGAAATTGTTCTTTTCGGAGAAGTTACTAGCTAGGCTGTACACTCGTGTTTACATATAGTAAAAGAGTGAGAAAGTTCCAGAAAAAAGACGGTTAATGGGCAGATTACAGCGAATAACAAGATTACGAATAAGGATCAAAAAATGTAATAGTAACATAAATGAACATGAAGATTGGATCAGGAATGTAACCGGATAATAATAATCATTGAGAAAATTGACTGTTTATGATGGCCATATAAGAAGACAAAGGTTGGCCATATTTCTTCCGGATACATAGTGGGGGCATGGACTTCTGGGCTGATCTTGTCTCACAAATGTCCAGATACCTTGCTACGATTTCCTTTAAGAAGTTTGGTCGGATCTTGTACATGAAAAACGAATCTGAATTTCTTTTGAAAAGTCCGTTGGTGGCACGGCGGTAGAATGCTCACCGACAAAGCAGGTGGTTCAAGGTTCGATCACCGGTCAGCGCAATCCTTTACCTTGCTAAGCCAGTAATAAGAATGGTAAAGAGAGGAGGTTAGGCCAGGTGAGGCTAGCGACCTCATCCACCGTAAAAATAAGAACCACTGCTACCAGAACTTCAAAGCTCTGACTTGAAGTCCTATGTTCCACTGGGAATGTAAAAGAATAAAAAAAGAACTTTCAGCTTAAAACTTTGCATGAAACCACAGTAGTTCAAATTGTAACGCTCCACAAAAGTACACTAAAAGGCATAGAAGAGAAAAGAGAGATGTAAAGAAATTATAATAATCGGAAATGTACGAGAGAAGAGAATCATTACAAGGATATAATAGAATTCTTCCTTGTTAAATCATTGAATAACTATGTGTTATGATTAATTTATTATTATTCCCTTGGGTCCCAAGTGTAACATATGACTTCAGCAGGACACCTCCATGTCATCCTCTTCTCCATAATCCTGTTTAGCTGGTTCCACGGCTGCCCATAAGCTCTTATCTCATATCACCCAGATGAACTCCTCCTGTTTGGGTTTCAATCAAGCGATAGTCTGGCGAGCGATTTCATTTGACTGTCTTCACTGCCTGTGTCCAGTCCATCTCAATTTCCTTCAGTGTATTTGTTCAGCAATAGGTTCTTGGTTGGTTCGTTCCCAGAGTTTCGTGTTACCACCTCTTCCTGACCATCTGGTCCTCATTATGGGGCCAGCGGAGGTGGCAACTGTTGATGAAAGTCTGAGGATGCATGTTGGAGATGGCTTTTGTAACCCACATACCAAGTCTCTTACCATATAGGACAAGTGACTTATCAGTAGTTTTGAAAATTTCAACAATTACTCCAGAATGATAATATTTCCTGTCATCCACACTTACATTGTGTGTGTGTTAAATAAAATTACCTGTGTTCCCCATTATTTGAAATAACACAGTCTTACATGAAAATTATGTTGGAATTTGTTGATGATAACTAAGAGAAGAACTCAGAAGTCGTGAAATTCTGGAAGACCCTGTCAATGGAATAACATCAGAGCAACCTTGAGACTCATCAGTGTTTCAGTGGAAGAATGATTGTTAACCATGCCTCAAGTGGTTCGTGATTCAATTCCTGGCTGTATATCTCCTAAATCTCATCCAGACTGATAGTTGATAGTACATATGGGAAGGAGAGAAGGTTGCACATGTGAAGCCAGCAACTCCCCTCCATAGAAACTATGCCGTAGCTTTTGAAACTGCAAGGATTCAAATATGAAGCCCTATTTTCCACTGCTTACGACCCCGGAAACACTATCGAAGTATTCGCTATACTTGTAGGTAACATGTCAACAGTAACTCATCATTTCTGTCCAGTATCATTCACTCAACTGGAAACATCACTATCACCTTTTACTGACGCGGTTTCGAATTTTCGAAAGGACACGATCTCCTTCAAGACTGAGGATGTGTCTTGTTGACGAGTGCCAGCAATAAGCGTAAAAACTAGGTCCAAGTCATCCTGGAAGTATTTTTTTACCGAGAATACCTTGAAAAAAGTTAAATTTTACTGACTCATACTAACATTTGACTTTAATTCCTCAAGGTATTAGGCATATCCTGACATTGTATTAGTTCACATTCATAGAGTTAGCATTTTTGTTGCTCCCCCTCACTGAGATATACGAGTTTAATGATGGTGGTTTTGCTGCCTTTCTAAACTAAAATTCTTTTTTTATTCCTTCACGTTCCCAATGGAGCATAGGGCTTCAAGCTAGAGGCTTGAAGTTTTTGTAGCAGTGTTCATTATTACAGGATGGGATTGCTAGCCTCACGCCCAACCTTTCCTCTTTATCAGCTTTATTTCTGGCTTAACGAGGTAAAGGAGTGCGTCGGCTGAGGCCCGAACCCCCGACCATTTGCATGGTCGGCAAGAGTCCTAACCGCTATGCCACCGAATAACATCTAGTTATATTTCAGGTAGAAATTTCATATATATTATCTAATTATTACTATTCCCTTGGGTTCAGAATAAAACATAAGGCTTTAATACTACCTGTCCATTTCAAACCCTTCTCTGAAGTCTTCTTAAGTGACTCTGAGAATGTCCACAAGCATTTTTCATCTCTTCTTCAGGTGCGTGCGCGCAACTAGTCATTGCGCTTGACGGCCTGAGTTGCAGGCGCTTTCACTCAGTTGTCTCCTCAGCGTATATTAAACCCATTTCGACTTTCTTCTGAATATGTGTTCGGAAATATTGTATTCTTGGTTGAATTCGGTGCCACAGTACTTTGTCGCTGATCCTTTCTGACTGGCTAATTGACTTTCAATATTGGGTCACCGAAAGCAACCATTAATTAAAATCCGTAGTAGCCTATTGGGAAGGCGAACGAGAGAACATAAATAAACCTGGATCAATAACATGATTCTAGAAGATCTGGATTTCACGCGCGGATGAATTATCGAAGAGTTACAGGTGAAAACCAACAAACTGGCTAGAGAAGCAGGCAGACAAGACAGGATTCTAGGAGATAACCAACCAACTAACCAGCAATAAAACAACAACCAGCACCAATCACCATCAATGGGAGGGACTTAGCACAGGTTCCTTCCTTCACTACAGGCAGTCGGAATGGATGAAGATGTCAAAGCCAGCCAGAAAAGGAAAGCAAAGATACACCCTCATCAATCTGAAAACAGTTTGGGAATCATCTACAATCCGCCTCAGCACAATGAATAAGATTTGGATTTTCGACACAAATGTCAAGTCAGTCGGTCGATGCTTCTATACGGGTCAGAAGCTTGCACTGCGTGTCACGGCAGGCACTTCCAACAGGCTACCGCAGACTTTTATCAACAGTTGACACCTTCGCTGGCCCCTTAGTGAAGATCAAATGGCCAGGTGGCCAAAAAGAAAGCATTGGCAACAAGAAACTCCGGTTGGAAACACACCAGCCAAGAGCAGATCGCTCAACAAATATGTAGGAGAAAATGGAGACGGATGTATAGGGCATACACTGAGGAGGAGACCACTGTATGACATCGCGTTCAATGCAGGCCATTGATCGAATGGAATCCAAATGGGAAGCGACGGGTGTGTCGTTAGTACGAGAGTGACACGGAGGAGATCATGTGTTGGGGAGGAGGAGATGACAGATTATAGGCAATCGTGTGGCTAGCCAGCTGACGTGGACAGCAGAAAATAGAAGAAAGTGGTGATGTGTTTTTGAAGCTCTATGTTCCATTTGGAACCCAAAGGCATAATAATAAATAGTAATAAATAAACATGACGTCACTCTTAAAACTCCGAATTTTGTCCCTTATAATATTATCTTCATTATGATAATAAAATTTTGACAATATTCCTCTGAATTATTCACCAAAGGTATCCTGATACTGATGTACACTTTATCTTTACATATTTATAAAAACAATTAAAGAAGTGGCGATAATGGATTGCTTTATAGGAGGACAATTATCATTGATTTAATTTAAATGGGCGTCGGTGGCACAGTGGTAGAATGCTCGCCAACCACGCAGGTGGTTTCCGGGTGTTTCGACTCCCGGCCGACGCATTCCTTTACCTCGCTAAGCCAGTAATAAGACTGGTAAAGAGGGAAGGTTGGGCCAGGTGAAACTAGCAACCCCGTCTCGTAAACTTAACAAACCACTGTTACCCGAAACTCCGAAGCTCTAGCCTGAAAACCAATATTCTAAGGGGAAGGTAAAGGAATAAAAAATTGATTTTTATTTAAAGTTATGTTAGTTCTAAGTTTTTATTAACACAGTATGAAATAAAAGTTCTACTTATCTTATTTTTGTTATTTACAGTTGAGAAATTAAAATCAAATGGAAGCATTGAGAAGATATTCGTCATCTTCGTCTACGGAAACAGCTAGTGTTAGTGATGAATTACCAGAAACTAAAGTGTCAAACCAGAAGAAATCCACTAATGTTGAGGTAAGCTGTATTGTAAACGCCTGTCTACAATTTTCAATTGTTTCTTTGCGGGGAAATGATTTGCTGTTGAAGTTTGACCACGGATTGATGATATTGGTTAGAGAATTGTTGAAAATCAGGGAGTAGTGGTCATATTCACAGTCAGTAGGCATCCGTAGGAGTTCGAACCCAGGGCTTTCCAGCTACAAGGCAAATTCGTAGACCATTCAACCATTGAGACCCAACTCTATGTTCAATAAATTTCAAATTCCACCAGTTTGTGATTCTGGCGGGACTAAGAGCTTGTCTTGTGATCCAAGCAACAGTGGATGTGTATCGCCAAAAAGTCTCAGATGAGGACGAAACAACTGGCTGTCCAGCAAGCACTCCAGTGCTGGTTTTCAATGGTCCTTTAACTGATATCAGTCCATATAAATTTTGTTGATGGCAATATTATTATTATTTGTTTTGACAATTTTCAACGCGATATAAGCAAAAGATATGATAAGAAAGAGAGAAAATACTTTAATTCAATTTTGAAACTATGGGCACAGGGTTCGAGCTTCGGTGGGAACATCATCACTCACTGCGGAATGCAGGCACATACAGTGACGAGTCCTAAGTATGACGAAATGCGCATCCTGGATTTCACTGCTAGTCACCATCCACCAGTTAACTTCTATAGAAAATACTTTAGTTTACAATGTTTCACGGATCTGAAGCAAACTGTAACTTTCGTCAGTTAGTCAGCTAGCTAGCTAGGTAGCTTTAACTGGGCTTCAACACAAATTTTATCACGAAATAACATCAGTTGTAGAATTACTAAAGATCAGGAAGTGCTGGGCTTGATGATTCCCAACCTGGAACAACGTGACTGTCTACAGTCGCCTTATTTTTTAGAGATTCTGTCTCCTTTTCAGCCGTTTGGATGATTCCCATAATTTATTCAAAAAAAAAGATAAAATAATTTCAGCTAACAATTATGGTCTTAAAAGATTCTTTTCAGGGTCTCTACAATTACAGATTCGGTGGAGGATTTCATCATGAGCTGATACCAGTTAGATAACCACTGGAAAACCACCTGGGAGTACTGGACAGCTGTCTTGTCCTAGTTTGGGACTCTCCATCAGTACGCACCCATGGGGTCCAAAACTAGGATGAAACAACTGTCCAGTACTCCCAGCTGGTTTTCCAGTGGTTCTCTAACTGATGTCAGCTCATGATGAAATCCTCCATCCAATCAAGCGAAATCCCTACAAAAGACCAATACTTGAAAATTACAGATTCGTTAATTGTTTAGTATACAATAGCCAGTAAATTATGATGCTTTTTATTCGTTTACTTTCCCAGTGGGACATGAGACTTCAAGCCTCAGCTTCAAAACTTCACTAGCCATGGTGTGTTTTACACAGAATGAATGCGAACCTCACCCTCAACCTCCATTCTTCACCGGGCTTACTAACGGCTAAGCGGTGAGGTTTAGAAATGCGTCATCAGGGGATCAAACTCCGGACTGCCTAGCATTCTACTGCTAAGTCACCAACTGACATCAAGAAAGACTAGTTCGATTTCTCTTATAAATTCTATTGTGGAACAAGTACAAGATTGAGTAACATTCTTTGAGGGCTACTTTATGTTATAACTAATGGATTTTTAATTGTTCACCCTCAAAAGGAATTTATTGAAAACGATTGTTCTCTCTAATTACTCTTGTTCAAATTACTGAAATCTTGTGAGCACTGAAGGCATTTACTGGTTACCTAAAGTATACTGTTAGGCCCTCTGAGAAATTATATTGTAAATTAACGATTTCCTAAATTATATTCAAAGCCATTTCATCAATGCATAACACAAGTCAATGAAAAGTTGTTAAAACGATTCTCTCTCATTTAAATCGAACCATAGTTGGAGCACCATTTAAAATCAGGGAGTACTGGATAGCTAGCTGTTTCGACCTAGTTTGGAACTCACTGTGGTTCGAACCCTGGAACTGCTTGTTACAAGGCAGTCACTGAGCTCGAATTAATGACTCAAGAATTCCAGCTGTTACCAATTCATAATATTAAGTTGAAATTCATGGGGAATTTAATTGGGTCCCAGTAGCTGAATGGTCTATGAGATGGCCATGTAACCTGCAGGTCCTGGGTTCTAGCCCCATGTAGCAGGTGCGTACCATTGAAGAATCCCAAAATAGGACAAAAAGGGTAACCAGTACTCCTTGCTGGTTTTCAGTGGCCAATCAAACTCCCTTTCTTACTGCATATATGTTGCACAATCGGTTCCTGTTGGTTCGCTCCCAGAGATCCATCCCTGTTGCTGATCTTTACTGGCTATCTGATCTTGATTACTGAGCGAAGACAGCCATTACTGAAGTTCTATAGTTTGTTCGAAGTGGCCTTCCTCACTTGGCGCCAAATCTCTGATCCGTACAGTAAATAGCACTGACTTCACATTACAGTTGAAAATCGGGATCTTATCTTTCAAGCTGAGTGCTGTTAAATTCCACACAAACTTGAGAGTAATGAAGGCTTGCCTTGCTTTCTCAATCAACGCTGCTTTGATGTCCTCATCAGGTAAGTGGGTAGGTACGTGAAGGACGTTGCTTCTTTCAGATTTCTCCCATTTATTCTGGCTGATTGTTGTCTGTTGTTGTTGCTGTTGGCCAGGAATCTTCATCAGATACCTCTATTTTCTCTGTGTTCACCTGAAGGCCTATCTTCTCTGAGTATTTCTTCTGCCAACTTGTCGCTTTTCACTTGCATATCTTCCAGTTTGTGAGAAATCAGACATATATCATCGGCGAAGTCCTGATCCAGATCCTCCAAGTATTTTATGTGTGTCCATTTTATGCTTGTTTTTTCGCTGCCCGCTGTCTGTCGCATTCTTCAGTCTACCGCCGTCGATCAGTAAAATCATTAGAGGTAGTAGGCAGCCAGCCAGCCAGCTCGTCTTAATCCGGCCTTCACTTCTTCGAAGGATTGTGTGAGTTTCCCGTTGTGGATTACTTGGCATGGAGCTTTGTCTTACAACTGTTGGATTGGATCTATAATTGTTGGCGGCGTCGCTTGGTAGTAGCGAAGTATTTTCCAAATCACCTCTCGATCGATGCTGTCTGCTGAAGACCTTTACAAAGTCAATGAAGTATACTATCTTGCCTTGTAAGCGGAAGGTCCTGAGTTTGAACCCTGGCAGTGGCTGCGTACTGCCAATAATTCGCAAACAGCTGTCCAGTACTCCAGTGCTGGTTTTCAATGGTTCTCTAGCTGATATCAGTCCGTGATCAACTCGTAAAAACAAGTGTAATCCTTACAAACCAACTATATAAAAAGATAATTTATTTCATACTTAATTTTGTCCACATAATTTTAACATTGTATACAGAATTTTGTTCCTCACTGTTAGCTAATATATATTTTTGAAATTTGATAATGATAAGAATGAATGCCATCGCATAACCCGGGACAATTAGTAGTAGTAGTATAACGAATGATATATTGTTTATTTTCTGTCTAATACTGCATATTATTAAGAGTTATAAAACACCAAATTACGAAGGTATTATCCATATACAGACATATGGATGCCAATATATGTAATGTATATACAATCATCATCATCACCATTTAACACCACCACTCTGAAAGTTTCACTTCTGATGGTAATTGCTATAATCTGATATGCCTGACAATGGCAATAATCATTAACACTATTCACAAATATGTATACATTATATATTTATATCTGAGCACTATTCATAGATGAATACATAGAGAGACAGAGAGGTGTGATTGTATAAAAACTCAATAGGGCATATATAGATGTATATATACTACTTAAAAATACTGACAATGTTTATTCACATCAAATACAATCAGTTAAGTATAGTTGCAATACAAATGTTGGCAGTTCAACAACACATTACTGGCTTAAAATAAGAACACCACACACACACACACACTCAGATGTGCACATTAATATCCAATCCATGTTGTATAGATTCAGGCATAACTACTTTTCCGTGTGTATCGAAGTGAAATAGAACAAAATTTTGATTCTAGGTTAATTGCTTACTTGGATATATTTTTATCAAATTTGGCTAGATATTATATACCTGTCTAAAAATTATGCATATATATGTATATATATATATACATGTATATATTTGAAAAAATCTCAGAGAAAATGAAGTATGTTATTCCAGTATTTCGTTCATTAACGGTTTGTCAAAACATGCCCCACATTGTCCGAGGTTCAATCCCCTCTTTGCTTATTATTGTTACTATTATTATTCCCTCGGGTTCAAATTGGAATACTGCGCTTCAACAACGCTCTATCTCCACTTCGTTCTATTTTCTACCTTCCTCTTCAACTGGCTAGCCACACAATTGTCCAGAATCTCTCACCTCCTCTGTGTCAACCTCACACCGACGACACATTCGGTGCTTCCAATTGGGATTCCACTTGAGGCATGGCCTGAATTGCGCGCGATGTCATTCGACGACCTCCTCCTCATTGTATGCCAGATCCATCCGTCTCCATTTTCTCCCATATATTTGTTCAACAGTCGGCTCTCGACTGTTGGTTTATTACCAGAGAGAGGTTCTGGTTGCTAGTTCTTTCTTTCTGGCCGGCTGGCTGGCTATTTCATCTTCAATATGGAGCTAGCTGGTGAAGATAGGAGCTGTTAATAAATGTCTATAACTTGTTGGAAGTTCTGTTTGTGACGCCCGAGTCGAGTTTCTGACACGTATCAAAGAACTGAGAGAATGAATTGATATTTGTGTTGAGAATTCGAATCTTGTTCTTTATGCTGTCTGAGTGAGTGCAGAAGATTTCCAAACTTGTTTCAGGTTGATGAAGGTGTATCTTGCCTTTCCGATTCTGACTGGTTGGCTTGGAAATCTTCATCCGTGCCATGTGCTCCTTGTTGAAAACGTGCTTCCTAGCCAGACAATTGAAGGAGGGAGGTAACCTAAGTCAAATCTGTCCCTCTGATAGTGATTTGTACTGGTTGTTGTTCATGATAATGCTGTTGAGTGATTATCTTGATCATTTCATTCTTCTCTATGTTCACCTGGATTCCTTTCTTTGTTGACAGCGTTTTCTGCCAGTTTGTTGGTTTTCACCTGTAGGTCTTCGAGTTTATGCTAAATTATCCGAGGAGTAAGCTCCGTAGGTGTATGAAGTTTAGGTGTGTGAGACTAGTAAAACTCCACCCTGTCATAAGAAGAGGAATAACGCATTTACTGCTACTGGGACCTCAAAGTTTAATGACTTGATGACCTAAGTTTTACTGGGAATGCGTAAGGATGAGAGTTAGTTGTCCCATACATAAAAGGGATCGTCAAGCAAGAACGACAAATATGTACCAGGAAGACAATATCAGCACATCGTTTATCATTATTTCACTGGATTCTTCTCAACTGACTGGCTACAGTTTGAACAATACAAAAATATAAATTAAATTAAATTAAACATTTGAACAGACTCTTTCCACGATGAAGAGAAGTAATTGGCAGGAACTGAGAGTATCGTTGTGCGTCGGTGGCATAGCGGTTAGGATGCTAGCCGACCATGAACAAGGTCCGGGATTCGATCCCTGGCCGGCACACTCCTTTACCTCGCTAAGCCAGAAATAATACTGGTGAAGAGGAAAGGTTGGGCATGAGGCTAGCAACCCCATCCTGTAAAATAAACACTGCCACAGAAACTTCAAGCCACTAGCTTCAAGCCCTCGTTCCCCTCAACTGGGAAACGTGAAGGAAAAAAAGAGTATAATTAGCCAGGAATGATATAAGTTAATTACATAGTTTAACAGTGAAAAGGTTTGGCTATTTATAGGAAACAAAAGGATAGCAGAGCTCAGCAGATTTCTGTGAGTAGAAACCAAATTTGACTAGAAACAGAATAACAAATAATAGGTTACGTAACGACAGAAAATATGGTTTCAAACGTCCAAACGTTGTATGGCAATATAGAGGAAATGGGACTTTCCATCAATTTCATGTACCGTTGTTCTCATGTGCATCACTGAACAGTTAAAGTTGATGAGGTGAATGATTTTCATTGTCGACATATTGACAACTGGAAGTTGTCCCATCAATCACACTTCTCAGCTTTGTTATCTCAAGATTAGACATGAAGATAACTGCTAGAACACGGCCTAGTGGATTGCCCATAGATATACCATCTGAATCCATGGTGTACAGTAGAAGTAAGCTAGAGAAGCTTTAAGTCTTCTGCTGATTATTCCTGTAATATTACCACCTTTAAAGGTGATAATAATATGTATATTTACATAATCAACTTTTAGGCTGTAAGTGACTGAAGAGAATCAGCCGACGAAAAAAGATGATGCCCTCATATTATGTTCTGAACTAACATTTATATAAGGATAGTTACTGAACAAAGAATACTCTTTTCGATAACTTCATCATCAGGCTTTACAGTTATATATACATTATAGTAGTGAATGAATTGGTGTTATGAAAAACATTAATGGTGTTTAAATAACACCGAATCAATAATAATAATATCAGTGGATTACAGTTCTATAGCATCAACATAACAATACACAATGAATATCAGAAAAATTAGGAAAGATAATAATACAAATTCATGAATTTATAGTATCCACTGAAGGCTGGCTAGCGCGGTAGTAGTGGCTAGGTGAAACTGCTTCTTCTGCACAAAAAACACTGGTTGTTTCACGTGAATTGCAATAGCCTCTGCTGTTTGGAGCATGCAGTGCTTCGATGTTTTTTGCAATTTATTTGGCACCCGGTGGATGATAGAGGAGGATTCTTCAATACTGGCTTTGTGGCCGGTTAGGAACAGATGATCTAATATCGAATTGTTGATGGTTTTACTACGCCTTTACTTAGCCACAATACTGGGAGATGACCCCGAGGACGAAAAATCTAGTTCTTAGGGAAACGGCCGATAAAACTCGCTCCACCACAAGCACAGTTGAACTGGTAAATACAATTAGAAGTGGCCAGTCTAGGTACTTCATCTTTCAGGCAAGGTAGCACCATCGGTCGTGTAAAAAATAAGACTTGTAGTTCGCCAGAATTAAAAGTTGTTTGAAATGATTTTCTTAATTTCCTCGTAATTATCTCACTTGGTATATCGCCGTTGAATTGCAGCCGTATTTTTAAAGGCTTGTTGTTTACGGATAGTGAGTAGTCCTTTTCCGCTTTCTTTGTCAAGTGTTTCTTGATAAATTTGTCGAGATAGCTATTTTCAATTAGGATATCATATACAATGTTTAATTCATCTTCAGTTACCTCTTCTAAGCATACAGCTCTAACTAAGTCTGTGGCTGAGGGTCTTTACTAAATTTCTTTTGCACTTGAGAAGAACGAAGCTGTGAAAATGGGTATAATGTCCTGTCCATGTACTTTTTCTGTGCAAATTTCTTTTTAAGCTACCATCTGTTTTTCTTGTAAGGAGGACATCTAGGAAGGAGTCTACACACGTAAATATCATAGCAGAATGTTCTTCATTGAATTCAGTAATTACTGTAGTGCTATCCGAATCATTATCACAAATAATGAAGGTGTCATCCATATACCGACAATAAAATGAGGACTTTCTGATAAGGGTGTTCAATAGTATATTTGCTAGTTTACTCAGAAAGAAATCCGCCTAAATTGGACCCATTTGGGAGCCCATCGCCACCCCGTATACTTGTCTGTAAAGTGTGCCATCAAATTTGAAATTTACATTCATGGTACACCTTAATAACAATTCTTTTAGGATTTCCGTTGGGAAGCCAATATTTATCGACTGGTTATTCATTTGTTCATATATGTAGTTAACTGTTTCTACTAGAGGTACATTTGGGAATAAAGATGTTTATATAAGGCTTCTTTGACAATATATATATATATATACATGTGATAGATAATTATATCATCCAATCACCTTATAATCGATATAAATTTCATCAGTCAATCTGTCTTTTTTCTTAATACAGAATAAAGCTCCCACCGTTAATGGACATGATCACTACTCAGGTTACAATCAATACAACAGTCAGCAGCAGCAGCAGCAGTCGAACAAAGCGTCAAGCAACTTCAATGAAGAGGAGAAGAAGAAGAAGACATCTAAACCAAACTTTGACAATCAAAATGCATTGCAACAACCTACGTCTGACTTGACCTTTGTAAAAATTGCACAAACTAACAAGTCGAACGAAACTGCTGCCATCAATAGTAACACCAATAACATAAATCACACGTATCAAACAAAACTCAATGGGATATCCTTATCAGATACAAAATTAGATGAGAAGACATTTGTTCAAACGATTGATAATGAAGGAGCTTTGGGATCTATAATATCAATCAGTCCAGAGGAATATGAGAAGAAAGAGGCAGATGAACAGAAACCTGAAGGGAAACAAAGCAGTATTATAACAATGTAAGTTTTGAAGCCATTAATTGATTAATTATTATTATTTGTTGCAAGACGTCATCATGAGCTGACATCATCGGTTAGAGAACCATTTGAAAACCTTCAGGGAGTACTGGATAGCCAGGTGTTTCAGTCTTCCTAGTTTTGAACGCCAGCTTTGAAACCTAGGACCTTCTGGTTACAAGGCGAGCTAGACGTCGTAGACCATTAAGCCACTTGGACTCGATCCAACGGTTCTAATGGTTCTCTAACCAATGTCAGCTCATCATGAAATCCTGTAACGGAAGTGTTATTGTTCTGAAAACGGGTAATATTGTCGGCCATACATTTACCCTTCCCTCTTCACTGAATAAGGTTCTTATGAATGAGTTTATTAGGAATCGAAACTGCACCATGTGAGGCACAGCTAGTGAATAATAATTACAATAATAATATGCTTTATTCCAAAACAGTACTTGTGATACAGAATGGAATTCTCAGCAATTTTACTACAGTATTGCATCCAGTTAGTACATTATCAATAAATAGAATTCTACATAGATGAAGGAAATCTCAGTTCATTATGACAACAACACACTGGCATGTCGGTAGCAAAGGTAAAGCTGAACAGTGTTTGAAGGTGTTAGAAAAGTGGGAGCTGTCATATTTGCTGGCGTAAGCGAGAGAAAGAAACAAAGCAGCACATAACGGAAAAGAGAGAAAAAAGAGAGAGAGAAAGGGAAAAGAAAGAAAGAAATGTTGTACCTATTGATGATATGAGTTGGAAAGACGAGGTCCAGTTGTTCTACTGACTATTTAATGAATTATATGTGTCACGCCTAATGCTTTCTTTATTGCACAGAACACGAGCTATGTAGGGTATGGTTGAGTTTTTGTACTTGCTAGTGAGAGCATATAGTTTCTTATATAGGCTTCTGGTTCTGCCTGATGAGATACAAGGGGAGAGTTGTGAATGAAGAGGGTGGATTTAGCCCATTTTTCACATGAGTCCATGTGCCTGTCAACCAGAATATTAACAAGCTGGCTAAGTGGCACGTTGCTTACCCTGCTGACAACCTTTAAAATCCTGCGTAATAAGGTATAGTCTTTCTTCAGCTGCCCTGGAAAAACTAATGGGGAACAATAGAGAATAATAGGCAGAATGCGAGAGTTAACCAATGGTAGGAGTAAGGGTTGGGTTATACCAGAATGTTTCAACTTCTTGATGTAGAAGTTAAGACGGAATATTTTCTTAGAAATCATCAAGAGATGAGACGACCAAGAGAGATCAGCAGATAGAATGACGCCTAAGTATTTAATTTCCAACTTGTTTTCTATTTCACTGCCATCTATGATGCACACCTCGTGAGAAGTAACCAGTTTAAGTCAGATTTATGCCTAAAGGCGAAATTAACTGTTTGGAGTTTGGAGGGGTTTAAGGTAAGACCACTTTCCTTGGACTACAGGCTGATTTCTGATATAAAGCCATTTAGTTTAGAGCAGTCACTTTGACATTTGACAGGCAAAGATTCAGTCAGGTCGTAGGCATATTTAACAAAATTAATGTCATTTGAAAATGGTAAGTCAGGTAGAAAGAAAGAAAAGAGAAGTGAATGAATCACCGATGAACAACTGTTATAAACGAAAAAAAATTTAAAGTTAAATAAACAAATTAATAAATAAATCGATTGCATAATCGACTGGAGATACAAATTAATTCCGTTGTTCTCCATTTAATACTTTTTGCTATAAAAAGAATGGAGTAAAAACTGAGAAATTTGACGAAAGTGATGAGTCGTTAAAAAGCACCTACCAATACAATAACAAGTCGAATATATTTTTTATTTTTAAACTAAATAATTTATAGCAAATTGATGCGAAAGTAAATCACAAAAAATCGAAGGCATAGAAGTTTGTTTTTAAGAAAAATGTAGAGACAAATAAATGCGTTGAACATAGCTGCATTTATAATAATAAGAAGTATAACCCTTGAAATATTGAACGTTGAATACTTGTTGGAGATGTAATTCACTTGTCTTATTAACTTAATAATGAAATTTGGAATCAGACCTTTCAAAAGCAATTGAGATATAGCGAAAATATTCATTCAGACATCTATAAAAGGACAAACAAAATAATTGAGCAGAGAATATCCCCCTTTTTGATAATTTCCTCCTCCTGTGGCTCTACAATTATGTATATATGTATGTTTATATACATAGAATATTCTAGAATAGTAGCCAATAACAATATTAGTGTTATTTAAATAATATCGATTTGTAAAGTAAGATCACAATGGAATTACAGTTCATTAAAGATGCTTAAATTATAATAATAATAATAATAAAATTAATAATAGCAAATAGAATGTGAACCAAAATTAGGAAAATTCTACAAAATTCAGGATCATTCAAACCTAGATGGGCAAAGTAAGGATAATGTCTGAACTAGCTTCTTTTCGATACATAAATTAGGCTTCTTAATGTAGATTTCAACAGCCAGCCTCAGAAATATGAAGTAGACGAACTCTTAAGGCGAAGTTAAGATTTGTTGGTATGCGGTTAATGACTTTGGAAGCCGCCTGGTTGACATCAATCTTGTGTTCTGTATCCACAAAATGAGATAGAATAGCGCTACGAATAGATTTTGTTTGTCCTTTACTTAACCACTATGCAGGATGATGTTCGGAAATGCGCCAATAAACACGCCTAATTGTATGGCCTATGTAACTGGCTCACTCCATAGGAGCAGTTAAATTTATAGATACATATGGAAGAGGCGAAGTTAGGCAGTTTGTCTTTTACTCCCGCACTCAAAATGGCGGAGGGTGGTTTTGAAGACACAGCGTAATTCAGCAGCAGAGGACGCTCTTTTTACTACATTTCTAAGACGTTGTGTTAGTATCTCGCTGATGTTGTCTCCGAGGAACTGAATTTGTAAGAATAAGGTCTTTTTAGGAACTGTTTGTACCTTGGGCTGCCTTTTATAAATAAACTTTTCTGGATAACCGTTTTCACTCAGCAGCCGCTTAACATTATTGAGTTCGTCATGAAGACATTCATTCGAGCAGATTGCTCTTGCTCTGTGAACCAGGCATTTTATCAGATCGCGTTTGTATTTCAAGGGCACGAAGCTGAGAAAATGAGTATACTGACAGTCAGTTGATGTAGGTTTTCTATATACACTTCTTCTTACTGTGCCATCCTCTTTTCTGGTCACAGGGACGTTTAGAAATGAAATACTACAGTTTTTTCTTTCTAGATGATAAAATTTATTGCAGGATGAACATCGTTAAATTGGTCAACAAGGATGTTCTTTGCTTCATCTTCATTTTTCATAATCAAAAATGTATCATCCATGTACACCGACAATAGAATTCAAGTTCATCAATAACATATTTCAAAGGCCCATTTTCTATTTTCGTAAGGAAAATGTCAGCTAGAATGGGTCCTAGTAGTGACCCCATTGCCACACCAACGATTTGTCTATATAGTTCTTTATTATTCTAGAATACACTATGTATATAAACATATATATATATAATTGTAGAGCCAGAAGAGGAAATTATCGAAAAGGATATTCTTTGCTCAATTAACTGATCTTGAATTCTTTAATTAATTATAATTAATTATTTTCACCCTTCCTTCAAAACCTAGATATGCCTTGTTACTGACATCTGCTAGTTGATTGTTTTGATGACTTTTAACTTCTTAACTTCAACGCCAACTCTCACCCTATACTTGAAACTGATTAACTAGAATAAACCTGGTTGATTGGTAAAAAGAATTTTGATGTAAAAACATAGTGTAGAGCCGATGATCAGGAACTAATTGAAAAGGAATACACATATTTCTTCGCTCAATCTGTTGTTTTTTTTCTAAAAGTTTGTTGGTGTGTTCATTTGTAAAATTCTCCTAACTGACTTGATTATAATTATAATTGTTCCTTTTAGTTCCTAGAGGAACATAGGGCTTCAGCCAGACGTCCCCATTGCGTCCGGTTCTCTGCCAAATTTTTCACCTGTCTCCATATCTGCCCACATGCTTCCATCTACTATTCGCATGACCTCCTCCATGTCACCCCACTCTCGCACTGACGATCAACTCGCCGCTTCCCATTCTGGTTCCACACGAGCGATGATCTGTTTTGTGATGTCAGTTGGTGGTTAATTTTCTTAGAGTATGGTCAATCCACCTCCATTTCTTCCTGCTTATTTGTTGCACAGTCGGTTCCTACTGGGTTGGTTTGTTCATTGCCACAGACTCCTGTTGCTGATCTTTTATGACCGGCCATCTGATCTTGAGTGGTACTGAGCGAAGACAGCTGTTGATGAAGGATTGTAGTTTGTTCGAAGTGGCCTTCGTGACCCACCAAGTCTGTGATTCGCATAGTAACACTGACTTCACATTGGAGTTGAAAATCCGGATCTTATTTTTCATGCTGAGTGCTCTTGACCTCCTTCACACAGACATGAGAGTAATGAAAGCTCGCCTTGCTTTCCCAATCCTCACTTTCATGTCCTGATCAGTTGCATCCGTCCGTAGTTGAAACGATTCTTCCCAGGAAGGTAAGCGGGTAGTTAAAAGAGGTTGCGTCTTTCAGATTTCTCTCATTTATGCTGATTGTTGTCTGTTGTTGTCGTTGCTGCTGTTGGTCAAGAATCTTAATTACCTACCTCAGTCTTCTCTATGTTCACCTGAAGCCCTATCTTCTCTGGATGCTTCTTCTATTGCCAACTTGTTGCTTTTCACTTGCGTATCTTCCACTTAGTGAGAAATCAGACATATATCGTCGGCTAAATCGCGATCCAGATCCTCCAAGTATTTTGTGTGTGTCCATTTTATGCCTGTTTCCTCGCTGTCCGGCCCGCTGTCTGTCGCAATATCCAGTCTATCTCAATCAGTAAATTCATTGGAGACAGTAGGCAGCCAGTCAGCCAGCCTTGTCCTACTCCCGTCTTCACCTCGAAGGATTCCATGAGTTTTCCGTTGTGGATTACCTGAGATGCAGCATTGTCGTACAACAGT